ATCGAGGAAAATTAACGTAGGGTTGTAAAAATAGTGGTTTCAGCCCTTAAAATGAATGCAGATAAATTCTACATTTTTCTTCATAAAATTATAAGAATTTAAATATCGAATATTCTTTATCGGGGATTTAGTGAGTTTTTAATCTTGAACGCCACTGTGTTATAAAACACGGCTAATGAATTCATGAAGGTATAATATTTCGAATGAAATAATTCAAGAAACTTGGTGGCTCGATAAGGTATTTTTCAGCGGTGTCGTGTTAATGCATCGGTATAAAAATTCGATTCATAGACCCAGCCAATATTTTAAAATTTGGGTATTGTTATTTAAGTTATTCTGCGCTATTATTGAGTATTACGCTATTTATTACGAAAAAACAGTAATGGAAAATGGTAATTCTACTAAAGAAATAAAATTGCTAAAGTTTTTTTATTTATTTCTTTTAATTTTGTAGAAAAAATTGCTAAAGTTTTTTTATTTTTCTACAAAATTTGAATAACTGATAAGGAGACCAAAATTCTTAAACAATTACCACTTTGTTTATAGATGACTTTATGTACCAAATATTGGTAGTTAAAAATAAGTTTTAAAAAATCACCTTTTGTTTAGCAGAAAATCGAAGTTAAATTTTTAAATGGGTACTTTTCAAAATTATTTTTTTTAATGGTAAATACATAAATGACTAAACTAATTCATTCGAAATTTTGCATGTAAATTGCTAATAAGCTTCTGATATCAGTTGAAGCAGAGGTTTATTAATCATTTAACAGCATTTAGTATGTGCAATCCCAGACAAAAGATAACGATCATTGTAACCGTTCAACATTTTATCAAGTTTCAAGAGGGACTTTATATCATAATCTAAATATCGACGATAATACAGAAACTGTAGAGATAGAGAAAATCCTGAACAAAAAATAATTTATAACATTAAATCATCAGCGAATCGATAGATTATTACAAGTATCGAAAAGCTATCGGAAAGATGACACGAAAAGTTACACTATGGGATGGTAAATTAATACACGCTCGTCTGTTCATTTTAACTTAAATCGATCAAAAGTTTCCAACAGACCTAATATATGATTTTAGCGCAGTATACCATCTTTTCATGAAAAGACAAATAGTTGGAAAAAATCTTTTAATTAACGAAGTTTCACATTGCGTAATTTCATTTTTAACCAAATAAAATCCTGCATAAAATTCTATTTAAATTCCCACCTATATTAAACACATTATAATATAATTTATTTAAAATGTTAAGAAAAAAGTTATTTTAGTCACTAAATTAAGAAAACATTCTAGTCGTTTATTCTATTAGTGTAAGTATATTTTTCCAACACATTAGACAATTTAACCTGGTGTTGTTTGTGTTTAACTTAATTCAAGTTAATGTTAAAAGAATATATTCATGATTGATTACAAACAAAAGAATACATTGGATGAGGTAGAAAAAGTAAGGATCTTCACTCTTTGGTTTACACGAGTGGAATCTTTGACGCATAATTTCCTTACCTTCTTCCTCCATTTTCACCGTGTAAATCCAGGAAACAGAATAAGTTGCGACAGAGATCTCAAGCTAGCCAAACCGTTTAAACTTGTTCGTTTCATCGTGAAATCGAGCGATTCATCCCGAACTTCATTTTCGCAATAATTGAAAAGAGGAGATTGACATAATACGAGCGATTTTATTTCCAATATTGCTCCAGAAATCTAGCATGCAAGTGTCTTTTCAGAGATAAATTTAAAACCGTCTTCCATACAATAGAATAAACCGTATATACTTCAATATTTTATACGTGTTTTTATACACCTTCAGTGATACAGAAATACTTTTAAAATGTCATGTCATTTGTCGCCGTCTACTGCAATAGCTATAAAATACATTGTTATCAGAAATGTGGATACGTGTCGTATGCACCGTGACTTTTGATTATTTTAATCGTTTAAACGTGACTGTAGATAAAACTAGAATTATAGTATAAAGAAAAATTGATTAAAATTACAAACAATAAAGTTTTTTTTTTATTTTGAATGATAAAGAAAATACAATTAATATCAAAACAATTATAACTATGATGATAGATTTATATTATGTATGAAAAATTAACTTATCTAATTCGCTTCCTTATGCAGATTCTTAATAATTACGTTACGTGCAAAAAATTTAGAACACAATACATGGCAATATTAACAGTAATACCTATCACTAACAATCGGAAATAGTACTGGGTGTATTTAGTTTGAATATTGAAATTATTTTATATTTTTAACCATTTGAGTGCCATGGGTTTTTGTAAAAACGCGGCCAAAAACTTCTTTCGTTTCAACTTAGAAACTGAATTACGCTTTCCTATTTTTACATAAAAAAATTCTAAATAGCGCGGTCGTTCCATTTTTCATATCTAAGAGGGTAATAACAAAAGTAAAGATAAATTTATAATCAAAAGGAAAGCAAATCAATAAACTTAATTTCATTCTACGAATCGATAGGTTGGCACTTGTAGGCAGCATAACGGTATAAATTTAGACTAATAAAAGAAAATAATTTATAAATTCTATAAATGTCGACTACCTGTGAAAATATTTACAGCAGCATAAATAAATTTCATTTGAATAAAAGCCGAACAATCTTTTTCTGGTAGCTTTTAATGTGTTTGTAGGAAAGCACCGAATAATTGCTGATGCACGAGGATACATTCAAGTTTGTAAATACATCATATTATTGCAACAGGTTGTAACTGTGAACGGGAAACAAATAGCTTTGTATGTATTTTTCACGACTAACAGTTTCCAGTGCACGTATTTCCAGGTAGAATAATAAGTATTATTCTAGTAAAAGAAATACTTGAACGAGGTCACCCGTATGCTTTAGGTCTTAATTGTGTGTTTACCTTTCTGATAATATCTTTTAATAGAGTCTTTTCAAACGTAAAATACACGCAAAAATCTATTCCCATAAGAATTGCACAATATTTTACAATTTATAAGATTTATCTGACGAAATCGTTTAAAATTTGTACTTAACCATTTGAGTTCCAAGCGGCGCGATCGCGTTTCTCCGTTACACTGCCTACAAATGCCAGTCTATCGGTTCGTAGAATCAGATGAAGCTTATTTATTTGTTTTCCTTCTAATTATTCATTTTTATTTTTGTTATTGCACGCTTAGAACTGGAAAAATGTAACGATCGTGCTATTTAAAATTTATTTTTGTAAAAACAAAAAAGCGCCATTCCGTTTCTGAATTCAAACGAAAGCAGCGCGATCGCGCCGCTTAGTGTTTTTCAAGCGAGCTTTTGCGAAAATCTGTGGGACTCAAATAATTAAAGTAACATAACGTAAGTAGTTTGCTAGGTTCGTTTAAATAATATTTTAATCAATTTTATAGAATTTAAAATGATATTAAATTTTCATTACATAAACATTCACAAGGTATGGAATAATGTAAGAAGGTACTTACTAAACGATGTTATCCGAATTAAATATTCGATTGACAAGAATTCATTGAATTAATTATTTTGAAATACGTATTTATTCCAAATAATTGGAATAATCTGTAACTTTAATTACTTATAATTGGTGATTTTTAATATAAATTTCGAAAAATTAAATAAGTTATATGAAATAGTTAGTATCTTTCACTAACATCCTATACATTCTGGAGACAAATATTACACCAACAGTATGACATTGATACAGATGACATTTGGATGCATCTCTGATAAGATTTCATTTGCATATCTATTCACTGTCTACATGGCACGTATGTATATGTAATATACGCGAGTCGCTATCTGCTAATGAATGTGACGAAGATTGAAGAGTGTTTCGTTAATCACGTGCATACGAGGAGAAACACTCGAAGTCTGTTACAATTGAATTCGAATTTGTCTGTTTCTTTACCAGGTTTTGCGAGTTAATTTAATCGATAACGGCGATAATAATGCATTATTACAAAGAAATAAAGTTATTGACTCTGTCTAAGCAACAAATTAAAAAGTAAAAAAAATACCAAATAATTAACAGAATGAAGCACAAAAATACAAAATATAAAGTACAAAGTACAAAGTACAAAGAAACTTTATTTATTTAAATTTAGTAATATATTCATTACATATTTAGTACATAGTAATTTAACAAAAATGAAATTTTGTCATTTCCATCTGCAGAAAGATTCATGCATTTGAAACCTTTTTCGTTTTCGTAACAATATTTTTAAATATTTTTCTTTGAAACAAGGTTGGACGACACTTGACGAAAATTTGTATAAATGAATGAAAAATGGCTACAACATACGTATTGATTGTTCTCTTATAAAAAGCTATTCAAATAATATAAAAATTTCTCCATAAAATAGAAGTGTTTGGTAAATTAATGTTTTTTGAAATTTTCGGAGCGTAGAGAACAATGAAAATATTAAAGATAAACAATGACAATATAAAGGATGTATTAATACAATAATTATTAATTATAACTCCTGATAATTTATATTACATATTTTTAAAAAACCATTCCATAAACATAAACGTTTTAAAATGTAAATGATTTCATTCGAGTGCACATGAACATGAATTATTTATTGTTTTCTAAACGTATAGAAAGATCACGCATTTTGAAAAGGTTAAATTAAAGTTCATAAAAAGAATTTAATGGCTTTATTAGTAATGCTAGTTCCACCTTAAATATAAGAAAGTTATGCAATATTCAAGTGTGGGTAAAACTTTTAAAACAATCAGAGAGTAATTGATGAAAATGACTTGAATTATCTGTATTTAACAAATAATTTTTACCTGAGAGCTTCTTCACTCGAATAAGTCTGTTTATCCTATATTGATTTAATGGTTAGAATTCAAGTCAGCTAGCATCTGAATAATAAACGCAGACAGTTGTATCGTACATTCAATTTTTTATTTATACAATTTTCTTATCTAGATAAAGCTCCACTATTCATCGCTATAGTCTTTGTCAGATACAAAAATAATAAAAACGACATACACATATTGTTTAAAGATTTTTCAAATTTATTTACTTATATGTAAGATCAAGTTACAATATAGTATAAATGAAATAATTGTTTCTTACGAAATGAAACCCTAGACGAAGACTTCTGTGGTGTTTTCTAAACAATGGCGAAGAGAATATAAGTTGAATACACAATTTTTTAAATACATGTTAATACATGTTTCTAATTTTCATTCATTAAAGCGTTTGTTTTAAAGGTATGAATAACGAGGCTAAGAATATAAATTATGTAAAAAGAATCATTTAGGTATGCATATAATCTTCTATTCGAATATATTGAAATAATTAATTTCATTTACTTCTATAAAATAATGCCTTCGTTAATCACCCTCAAAAACGCTAACTAAAATATACTGTTTATGAGGAAGAAGAATTCGTTCGAATTTAATGTACAGCTAAATCGCGGTACACACCCACGGTTTAAGATTAAAATAAAATTACGTATTATTAGTGCTAAATATTACTGTACATCGTACAAGTTGCAAGGAAAATTTTCCGTCACCTATTACAATTTGTATCAAATCTACAGAATTGGATTCGATATAGACTCCAAAAATGTTTCAGTTGTCAGAACCGACTTGTTGTCTCGATCTCATGGATCTATAATCTGATCGGTAATAATACCCCCACACTGTAATCACGTTGCAACATCCCCGCGGAATTTCATATAGTTCAACTATATAATAAGAATTGTGCACATGGGTAATAGTTCGATTTAAGATAGCTGATTAAACGTGCCTTACCTATTATCTCGTATATCCTATAAAATCACATACAACTCTTAGTTATCATCGGCATCATCATCATCATCAGATATATACTTTTTCGTCACTCTTTTCCTACGCCCCCCTCGACCTTCACCTTTCCTTCCTTTTAATTTAATTTTCATTCGAACACTGGAATCAGCATCCGAACCCTCTTCGCCATCACCTTAAAACAATAACGGATTATGTTATATAAATATTGTCTTAACAATTTACTTTGTAAAAAATTGTCAACGTTATATTTATGTTTACGGTAAATAACAACAATAATAAGAAAAAGTACCTTTATCATCTAAGTCAGAATTATTACCCTCTTCTTCGATACGTTGACGAGCATTCGTGAAAACGGACTGCAAAACTATAGAATCTTCATGTATCAGAGAAGCCTCTTCATTATAAATCTGTGCATTCTTACAAAGCTGCATAAAATCTTTTTCGAGGTCGTCAAAGTCGGTATACTGTAAACAAAAATTGATTTTTATATGTGTATGCAGGACGTCACATAAGAAACTAGTTTACACTTACCTTTCCTTCTTCAATCTTTTGTAATAATTTATTGATAGTCAATGGTTTCTTAATGACTTCATAGTAATCTGGTAATTCTCTTCTAGATGGTAACTTCATAAATGGTTCACTGAGCAGCCTACCATCCGTGCTGTCTGTGTAATTAACTACAACCATAATCAACTTCTTCATAGCTCGTTTAATCTTTGGGTCAATCGAAGACCCTGCACCTCTTCGTTTCTTTGGTATAGGCTCGTCGTCTTCCTCGCCCTTCTTTTTCCGTTTCCGCGTTTTCTTCTTTTTCTTGTCGTCCTCCTCTTCCTCCTCATAGTCTGCCCCATCGTCATCAATTGCCTTTAACCATTCCTTTTCTGTTAAGCTGTCAGTATAATCAACTTCCTTTCGTTGCCTGGATCCTCGTCCAAGGAACCCAGGCTCATCTTCTTCGTAAGTCCACCTTTCCACCTCATCGTCATCTTTCACTAACCAGTCGGGTAATTCTGCTTCCTCTAACAATCGAGACTTTCTATTGGGTCCTAACTTCGCTTCTTCTCGTCTTCGTTCTAAATCCAATTTCTGGAATATCTCAAATTCACCTTCTGTTCGAGCAATCATTTGGTTCACCGTCTCATCATCCGGTACTTCATTCTCTTCTTCGTCCTCAGCATCGTCTTGATGTAAGATACTTTGCAAAAATTGTTGACGTTCAGAGCCGGTAGACTTCTGATCGAACATACCCGCTTGAATTACTTTTTCGTCCATGTTCAGCTTGTACCTGGCCGCAGCTAAGATTCTCTCTTCGACCGAGTTTACTGTCATCAGTCTGAGTACGCGTACCTCATTCTTCTGACCAATCCTGTGTGCTCTGTCTTGAGCTTGTAAATCCTGATGAGGATTCCAGTCGGAGTCGAAAATGATTACAGTATCAGCAGCTTGAAGATTTAATCCTAAGCCACCAGCACGCGTAGATAACAAAAATAAGAAATATTCAGAGCCAGGATCGTTGAATTTCTTCAATAAATCCCCCCTATCTTCTGCTTTCGTTGTTCCGTCTAATCGCAAGTACATAAATCCCCTCCAATTTAAATAGTCCTCCATGATCGTCATCAACTGTGTCATTTGACAGAAAAGTAATACTCTGTGATTGGTTGCCTTCAACTTAGGGAGAATGCGATCCAATAATTCAAATTTGCCCGATGCACGATATAAATCTGGTCCTGTGATCACTCCAGATCCTTGGGTTCCAACATGCTCGCAGTATTTTTCTTCAATAGCTTGGAACATGAACGGATGGTTGCATAACTTTCTTAGTTGTACGATAGTGTTCATCAAGGCTTTGGCGCCACCCTTGCCCTGCTTTCCTTTTTCCGAACCGTCGGTTAAAAGTACACCCTTACTTTGCATATGTTTATAAAGAACTTTCTGTAACCCAGACATGTCACACTTGATAATATATTCTACCTTATCCGGTAATTGAGACTCGACTTCTTTCTTCAAACGTCTTAACAGGAAAGGTCGTAATACTTTGTGTAAACGGCGAATGATGAGAATAGTTTCTTCTTCGTTCAGTTCGACTTTTTCACCAGTAGTTGCAAATGGAGCATTGAACCATTGCTCAAAGGTACTGCAAGATTTGAAGATCGAAGGGAGTAAGAAATTTAACAATGCCCACAATTCGGGTAATTTATTTTGTAATGGCGTTCCTGTTAAAAGGAGTCGGTGGGGTGCTAAGTAATGTGTATTTAAAACTTGTGTCAATTTGCAGTGATGGTTCTTCATTCTGTGACCTTCATCAATGATCATGTATTTCCACTGCAATTTTGCCAAAACTCCTTTATCCTTGATTACGTATTCGTACGTAGTTAGCAAAACGTTGAATTTAGTAGCTCTCATCTGAGATTGAATAGCTCTTCTGCCAGCTGGTGAGCCTTTGTACGACACCACCACAACGCTAGGAGCCCATTTCTCAAACTCTAAAACCCAATTCGATAGAGTGGATAACGGTACAATTATAAGGAACGGTCCATTGACTTTCTTCTTTTCCATCAAATAAGTTACTAAAGCTATCGTCTGAATAGTTTTACCAAGACCCATCTCGTCGGCAAGTATACCATTAAGATTATTATTGAATAATGAAACCAACCACTCCAACCCCTTTATCTGATATTCCTTCAATTTTCCGTTCACCATAATAGACGCTTGTTCAGTTACCACTTCGTGAACAGTGTGAGCAATACTGTAGTAAGTCTGTTCCTCAGTTTTATATTCGTCGTCCTCCACTTTAGCTTTATGTATTGTCTTTTTAACTTTATCCTCTTCCGAATCACCAGGAGCTTTCTCTTTGTGCTCGGACTTATCTTCACCATCTCCGTTTTCGTCATCATCATCATCATCGTCATCCTCGCTTTCAGATTCCATCGGTTCCCAACCTGGATGAGATTCTAAAAATGCTTGTAGGTGGCTCATCAATGGAGCTTCTTCTCCTACTAATGTGCGACCTGTAGCCGTTTCTATCACTCCAACGTGAGTATCCTCGCTATTGGCGCCATCTTCACCACCTTCTCCATCTTGCAATTTCTTCTTTTTCTGTGTAACGATATTAATATATAAAGTACAGAAAACTAATGATAAATTGATGAAAATAAAATTATGAATATATTTATAAATAAGCAATGAAATGGAAAATAAATTCGACAAATGAATAGGGAACTATTAAATAAAATCTAATATGTTTGTAAAGTAATGTCCATAAATTATAAATATCCAAAGACAGTGCACTTACTTTCTTACGCTTTTGTTCTTCAACCTGCTTTCTTTTTTGTTCGATTTTATGTTGCTTGACCATTTCAGTCAAATTGCTGATGTACTCATCAGTTTGAGACAAGAGGAAGGCCAATCGTTTGTCTTTCTTCTGATCGATCAATTTTCTGTATCCTTCTTCATCCTCCGCCATAAGACGTCTCATACGTTCCTTTTCGATACGTTCTTGTTCTTTCTTCTGTTCTCGTTCTGCGTTCGCATGATAATTCAAAACAGCTTTGTTCAGCCTAGCCAACTTGGCCACGTTGTTCCGATGGAATTCTTTGAAATCTTTGCCATGTTGAAGCACAGAGCTAAGGAATTCCTTTAAAAAAAAAGATGATTTATTTATAGCATATGTGTATCAAATTAATACAACGAAAGAAGAAATAAAGAATATTAAATATAATTACTTGATGTTTCTGTCTGCGTTTACGTTCTGCTTCCAACTTTTGTTGTTTTTCCAGTTTTTCCGTGGCCCTAGCTTCTCGAAGGCTTTGTTTCTTTGTACGTTTGTAAGCCTTTACATTTACTGCAGTTTCCAAGGTAGTATCCTTCCTCGTACAGGCTAAAATCTAAAAAAAATTATGATTAGAATTTGCATAAAAGACCGTGATAAATACAATATATGATATATTTACTTCAGATCGTAACTGCCTTTGGAAATTCAATACTCTAAGCATTCGAAGTTCTATCTGTGCCTGGATGCGAAGGTCTTCTGGCATATTGGTAGGTAAATTGCTTAGTTGTTCCATACGTAGTGCTATACGTGCTGCCACTCTGTAGAAAATATAATATGCAATTAAATCGTTAAATCTTATAATTTATAATAATTAATATTTTTATCAACTTTCAAATATCCTGACAACAATTTAATGTGCTAAATGTGATTAGCGTTTTCAAAGTTAAAGATAGTTCAATAAATCTTGCCGGTACCTGTTTTCGCGTTCTTGCAATATTAGTAATGGATCTAAACCAGCTGGTTTCGCCACACTCGTCACCCTGTTAGTCTTAGCACCAGTTTGAGGAGGTTGTTGTTGCTGCGGTGTTTGGCAACCCGGTCTTGGAGGTACCGCAGGACCGATTACGTTGGGTCCAGGGATTTGTGGTCCTGTATTAGTAGCAGTTCCTTGAGATGGATCTATCGGAGGACGTTGTACCATACCTGGGGGAGGAGGTGCTCCACCTATTTACATTAACCTTACATCAAACCCCCAGCGTGGATCATCCTACTCTACTTTTGTAGTTTTACAAGATGAAATAATGAAAATTCGAATATGCACATCTAACAATTACGTAGATATTACAGCTGACTAGAAATGAAGAGGCTATGCACGTACTAGCTATAACAGAATACCATTTTGTGTTTAATAATGCCCAACTTTCTACCACAGATAGAAGCATCTATTGTTTATATTAATGAAAAATAAATTAAAATCAGCAAATAATATAAATGTATGAATCAGCAAGCAACATGTATTGGTACTATAAGAAGCGATACAAAAGATAGAGTAGTCACCTATGACACAAAAAATATAATATATTCAAACGTTCACTTACTTTGCAGAGCGAGCGTTAATTGTGGTGTTAGTGGTTGATTCCTTGCTAATAACCTATATGCCATTATTTGTACCCTGGAAAGAATAGGCTATTAAATATCAACATCCTGAAATAATTTATACATACATTTATTTATTTTTACGTAACATACCGCAACTGTTGCAGCTGTTGAGAACTGAAGGTTTGTTTTTCACCCATGCTACCTTGACGGGCCTTTAATGCAAGCAACTGAGAATAACGTGGATCTTCTTGAAGTCCCCTTTCTTCCATAGAATCAATAGCTTTTTGCAAAGCATTTAGATTTTCTTGCTGTCCAGGTCCTGGAGGGCCACCAGGCCCAGGAGGACCAACTTGTCCAGGTCCAGGAGGACCACTAGGCCCAGAAGGACCAACTTGTCCAGGGCCAGTTTGGCTCATTTGATTTACAGGTGTACCAGGTCCCATTGGCGTAGAACCTCCAGGTCCCATTGGTTGATTTTGTGAACCAGGTCCCATCTGACCAGAAGACGGTTGATTATTCAGTCCATTTGGACCCATTTGACTATTTGAGCCACCATGTCCCATTTGATTATTTGGTCCATTCGGTCCTATCTGATTTCCAGGTCCACCAGGCCCCATTTGATTCCCAGGACCACCAGGTGTCATTTGACCTCCTGGTCCACTTGGAACCATTTGTCCTCCAGGACCACTAGGCCCCATCTGACCACCAGGTCCCATTTGTCCACTGGGTCCACTTCCAGGTCCCATTTGTCCTCCAGGTATATTTCCTGGTCCCATTTGCCCACTAGGACCACTTCCCGGGCCCATTTGTCCACCAGGACCACTTCCAGGCCCCATCTGCCCACCAGGTCCACTTCCTGGTGGCATTTGATTTCCAGGAGTGCCTGGTCCCATTTGACTTCCACTGCTTCCTCCTGATCCTATTTGTCCACCAGGGCCGTTTCCTACACCCATTTGACCCGCTGGACCACTGTTCGAACCTATTTGTCCACCAGGCCCACTACCCGGACCCATTGGTCCACCAGGACCATTCCCAGGAGCTATCTGTCCTCCAGGACCACTTCCTGGTCCCATTTGTCCAAGACCATTTGGTCCTAATTGTCCTCCAGGTCCATTTCCCGGTCCTATCTGACCGCCTAACCCACCAGGTCCCATCTGACTTCCCGGTCCTCCAGGCCCCATTCCCATCTGCGAGGATGAACCTCCCATATTCATTTGCCCTGGCCCATTTGGGCCCATCTGAGAAGGTCCATTATGTCCCATTTGTCCTCCGGGACCAACAGGTCCCATTGATGTAGGACCCATTGGAGATTGACTGCTAGGTACCATCTGATTAGGACCACCAGGACCCATCTGATTAGGACCCCCTGGTGGCATATTATGAGCATTAGGTCCACTAGGTGGCATTTGTCCCGGACCTCCGGGCCCCATGTGACTTCCTGGGCCACTGGCGCTCATATGTCCAGATCCAGGTGGGCCACTTGCGTTCATGTGACTTGGGAGTGGGGGCCCACTATTCAAATGACTTCCTGGACCAGGAGGACCACTAGTATTCATATGACTCGAACCTGGAGGCCCACTAGACGTCATATGCCCAGATCCTGGCGGACCGCTCGTATTCACGTGTCCTGATCCTGGGGGTCCATTCGTATTCATGTGACCAGACCCAGGTGGACCGCTTGAACTCATGTGTCCTGGACCAGGAGGTCCACTTGCATTTATATGGCCTGGTCCTGGAGGGCCACTCATATGCCCTGGTCCTCCTGGAACCATTTGTGTATTAGGAGGTCCTCCAGGACCCATCTGTGGACCTGATACAGGCCCACCACCTGGACCCATTTGCCCTGGTCCCTGACTCATGTGAGGGGGTGGCCCTCCGCTTCCCTGTGACATGTGACTTGGCCCAATTGGCCCGGGACCTCCTGGTCCCATTTGCCCCGGACCTCCTGGTCCCATTTGACCGGGACCTCCTGGACCCATTTGACCTGGACCCCCTGGACCCATTTGACCAGGACCGCTTGCACTCATTTGTCCAGGCCCACTGGAACCCAGTTGATTTGGACCAGACTGCATCAGATGAGATGCTCCTTGAGGCCCATTTGGTCCCATTTGTCCCGGTACCATTGGTCCTCCAGGCCCCTGTTGGGTACTAGCGTTCTGGCTCGTGGTGCCGCCAGGTCCTCCTTGACTCTGTAATGTCGGAAAATACCATTGGATTACTTTATTTGTCAAAAAATAATGTTTTACACATATTTATCGACTAACGCGAGAAAAATATTTATCTATCTCAAGAATAAGACGGCAATATAAAAGGAAAAAGGTGTAATTTATTACCTCTAATCTTTTATAGATTTCGCTGCAATAAAATAATAAAACGTAATAAATAAACTCAGTGAAATGTAGTGGGTTTTTTATTTAAGGAAGCTCGCGTTCTATCTCTTTTGCATACAAATTAACTGTATAACCGCACGGATCGAGGCTGTGTTTGAAAACAGTGCAATTATCCAATTGTGCTTCGATCCAAGAAAATCCTTTGTGACGCATGATTGTGTGCGCTACTGTGACGTCCACCGATAATGGTTAGTACATTTTTCATTAAGCGCGGTGACGCACTGTACAAGATCGTTTCGGTCGTATAGATAAAAACAATCATCTGCCTTGCACATGGATCAGGTGTAACGTGAACTGTACACGTGGTGAAGAAGTGTAACATTTCATTCAGTGAAGGCATCTGTCCATGAAACTTCGTTTCATTCAATTTTGCGTAACGGAGATGAAATACTATATTCACAGTCTTTGCCAAGATTGATCATCAGCATTAAAAGTCCGGTTTACGCCTCTTTATTCAGCAGTCAATATAATTCGTTTCTGTTTTAATAAGACAAACCCGTTATTTTCACTGAATTTCTTATTATTTTATCATTGTATCATGTTTATGTTGCATATTTATTATATTTTTTATTTTATTTATTATATTTTTAATTCGAGATTTGAAATAATTTGTTTTTCTTTTAATGTGACACACGTGGTATGTTGTCCTATTTTTTTTTTATTTTAAGCAGCATAAAAATATGATGACACTATAAAATAATGTAGTTTACAAATTACGTTGGGCTTATTCTAATAATGTTCAACAGCAATATTCAATATAAAAAAATCACAGAACTATGATACAACTGGTAAACAATTGGATCGTTATTATATAGATTTAATATACTCTGCACAGGTGTCGAGAAGGTAGCATATTTCATAACAATAAACCATACGTGTAGGTATTGAAATCATAGACGCATCCAGAAGAAAGGTAATTTCAAGCCACGTTTGTTCAATTCCTTAACCAATTTTAACTACAAATTAATGTTTAAACTCGTTACCATTTAATTATGAAGTAATATTTGATACTAATCCTTGAATAAAAGAACACCTTCCTAGATTCAAATCAATTTATGAAAAACATCGTTCCTTTCTAATCAGACTCATTTATGTTACAAACATCTGCACTGAAGAGTTAATTGAAAAAGTCACAACAACACAAGGTGAAAAAAGTAAGTTTGTTCTTCAAGGGCTAAATCCTTCAAATTCAAATGAAAATTAAGAAGACAGTCACATTTATAAGTCTAATAACAAAAAAAAGACAAAAAAGAAACGAAATTATCATAATCATAATTCAGTGAAGTCTTTGCTTCCATTTAATTAAAATTCAACTGGTGACCATTCTCAAGGATTAGATTTTATCATTTGTTAAAGTCCTGCTATTTTTGATAAGTTTTGAAGCGGAATCGCTCGTTAAACCGATTAAAGTTACATGTAATCAGTTACTGATAATTCAAGAGGGATATTCATTGGCAATGCCGGGCTATGTGGACTTCCAAGTGGGGGTTGGCAATCGCAGCATAAGAGCAGAGCCCAGCAAGTTAAGACAATAGAGCGACAAGCGTTGGTCTGCTAACAACATTCAACATGATTAGTAACGAAGAACTCGACCACTGCTACGATTTTGTTCTGACGTTGACCGCCGAAGCAGGAAAGGTACCATATCTTATCAAATCCACCCCTACTGTTCAATTTTCTATCGCGATTACTTCCTGTCAAACGCGTTTCATTTGCACTTTAAAAATTCATAGTTACCGCAAAACAACTGTAACATGGTTTGCGCCAGATACCAATAAATTATCGTACTTGATGTTACGTGTCATCACGTAACTATTTCATGATAAACGTGTGTATTCATAAATCTTGTCAAATAGGGAACTTGTCTAGACGTCTACTATTTAGTTCAATCAAAATCTATAAATCAATTGCCTAAATTGGTATATTTATTTAGGTGGAAAGCAATGCTCACGATCTTATTTGAACGAGTTATCTTACACGTGGGAGTACTTTGATATGAAACAAAGTCCAAAATAGGCAATAAAAATATACAAAATTATTATTAAAGTTGTAAAACTATATACTTTGCATTTTTATTGCATTAAATTGTTCAAAATAATATTTACTTAATCATAATAGTCCCTAGTTTCATGAAAAATTGAGTGTTCAATTCTCATATTCGATTATTATTGATGCCGTTCAATTTCAGAGTGAACGGATAAAAATTGATGTGATAATATTAAATGTAATTGTATGGGATACTTATAATAAGTATAAGAATATTAGTGTATAATTATTACTATAAATAAATTGTTCTATCAATTACACGTTAAGTGATAATGCACCATTGGTTTAAAAAAATTGATTTTATTAAGTTGCAATTTTATTTGAGACTAATTTAAAATGGCACGCAATACTCTTCCATTTGCTTGTAACTTAGAATTGCCAAGCATGAAGAAAATTTCAGCGACTATAAAAGTTTTAATACATGTCATGGTGTTATACAAAATTTAATCTATTGGAATTGACTTCACAAAGGAATTGTGCAACTTTTTTTTGTTAATTATGATTTGAAGATACACAGAACTTTGAAGATAGATCATTCAAGGACACTTCATCGAAGTTGAATTTTTTAATCGTGCAGGTTCTAAGTAGAGTTTGCATTTTAGATCAAAATGTTTGACAAGATTGAAGATAAGAAAATAAAAAAAAGATGATTTTATGAATTTTATAGGAAAAGATATAACGGAAATGCAAAAGAGAACAATGGTGCTTTATACCACGTGCAACTTTTCTGATATTGATAGTAGCACTATTCATGCTGAAATGTTGACCATCTCCACTCGAAAATTTTTTTGCTGCATATATTCATCATATTTCTAATGGAATATTATTGAAATTTTGTATGGTATTACACAGTAACAATATACAAATAAAAGGAAAGAACTATTTTATTTCAGTATTTCACGACTAAGTGCATTTACATAGAATTTGATATTCAATATATACTTTTATAATTTTTCTATGTCAAACCAATTCTCGAGTGCAAATGGTTAATAATACTTTAGCATGCAATGAATACGCAAGTAATCCTTCAGCGCTTAAAAAGAAAACAAAAATAATCATTTGAAATAATAAAAAATAATCATTGAACATAATGTGAACTAAACAAAACTATCACAAGGTAAGCAAAGTGTCGGTAGCCTGAGTTATCCCAGAGTAAGCAGAATAATTCATGGAAATATAACTGTATATTTTTTACTATAAATGTCTGGCACATCGCTGTATCACAGTCTCATTTTAAAAATAAATATTAATATTTAACCAAAGAATTGTAAACCTATCACGAATTTAGTCAAACGTAACAAAAGAAGAAAAATTACGTGGTTTGATAATTGAAGTCATCGATAAACACTACTTCTTAAAAATAGTGCAGAACTATCCTCATAATGTTATGAAACAAAATATATAAAGTGATGGACGAATCATCAGTAAACATTTCTGTAAATTTTAACTTCATGTTAGAATATTTTCCCAAGGTTCCTAGTTGCGGGATGAATCCAATATTAATGTAGAAGTTTATTATTACAAATTGAACAAACGCTTAACTTATTAACTATACTTGCATTTTTCAGATAATCAGGGATGCCATTCAAGGCTCTAAAAAGATCGAGACCAAAGCTGGAGACTGGGATTTAGTGACACAGTATGATAAAAAAGTGGAGGATATTTTGATAAATAGTATAGCAAAAGAATTTCCGAAGCATAAGTATATAAATCTTTGAAAATTATAATGTACAGTGTGACAATGACTAATTTACTCATATCTTAATAAGTGTCAGAGTGTTGTAATAATCAAGTATAATTCCTTTCTTCTTCGTTTTGTAGCAATGATATAGGATCATGGTAAACAATTATGAATACTGTTAAAGGAGAATATGTTGCTAAATTTGTTAAGAGCAAATGGACCATTTATTTTTCAGTGTTCTCTTAAAGAATTTGGAAAACAAGAACTTACATATACTTTTCATTTATAGTCTATTTATAATTTAAATCAATTGGAAAGATTCGTTTATTTTATCCAATTGAAATTTCGTTGGTAAATAGAATTACATAATCATTTATTCTGAGTGGTACAACTGAAAATGTCCACTCACTATCCTGGAAAAAATATAGTGATCTTGTACTTAGTTTTCTAAAAGAAAAAAATTGTTCTATATTGAGTTTGCATTTACTTAAACACGTACGAACATAATCACGAACAAACTAAGTAAATCAGTCATTATTTTTTAATCGCAAACACATTAATATCTCAAAACAAAAGAAATGAACTTACACCATCTTCTAACTAAACGATCCAAATATTTCATTTATTAAATAGTGGATTAATTGTATATTATTTTAGATGTCAACAAAAAAGTTCATTTATTAAAAAGGAATAAATTAGTCATCGCTGCACCTATTAATAGTGTTGAAATGGTCTAATTGAAATGAAATTCACGCAAACTCTAGATTTATCGGTGAAGAGACAGTTTCGTCCACAAACTCACTGCCAGAGTTGACAGACGAGCCTACGTGGATTATCGATCCGATCGATGGTACCACGAACTTCGTTCATTCGTTTCCTTTCACATGCGTATCGATCGCGTTATCCGTAAACAAGCAACTGGAAATTGGTATCGTCTACAATCCAGTATTGGAGCAATTGTTCACGGCTAGGAAGGGCCACGGAGCTTTTCTGAATGGCAAACCCATTCAAACATCTAAAACAGAGCGTAAGTTGATCTCGGACACTGTTACTAACCCTTTCCACTTGAATTTTCTTTTTTTAGAAAAGTAATATACCTACAGCTATCTCAATTTCGTAAAGTAAAAGTAATTTTGAAGATTATTATTTTGAATCGAGTGATCTTGGTATTATAAAGTACTTATCATAAAGAGAAATTATTTAATTGGTCATTAACACTGGAACTACCGAGCAATTGAAGTGACTTATATGTAATTTCTTATAATAAAATTTAATCACTGTGAAATGAAAATTTTAAAATCGGCCATTTTGGCTCGTCTAATAATCCTAGTGTCGATGAGGATGTTGATTGTTAATTTATGTGATAAATACTGCTTTGTAGAGACTTCGGAATACCGATGAAAGAAGTGTTTTATTATCTACTTTATATATTGCACTTCAAAGAAGTAATTATTGCAAGATGTAAGTATGGCGCATCAAAAGTTCAACACAATCTAAATTTCACAATAACACAATTTAAACACTTTCGAATAATTTAACATTTACTAGAGTATCACAGATGAAAAAATTGTTTCACTATATTTTTTCATACACTGGAAAATATTACATGGTGTATATAAGTTCTCTTTAAATGCAATGCACGGATTCAATGAACAATCCACTTTATTTAACTGTAATGCTATAATTTTCTGTTTATATGAAAGATCTTTTTGGTTAATATTACAATTCCTGAATCAAACTTAACAAATCGCAACATAGAATCCTTTTTCTAATACTTCATCTGTACTTATCACTGTAAAATTAATTGCTTACCACCGCATTAATATTTTTTAAAAATATTTTCAATCCTACTTTTTGCTTAGGTATTAATACAACTATTATTTCAATTGTAAACTAGTATGATATTTACTTAGGTTTATTGTAAAGAATATGATTATTTTTCTCGGAATCATATATCCCATGAAACTGCCTGCTGAGAGAAGCCACGCATATATGACAAGCTATTAAAAGGTTAACAAAATCTAGTCAATTGATAAAACTCTAATGAACCAGATTTTTCTTGTACATGATTTTTTTATTCGCATAAAAAATCTTTCGCGAATGCACATAAACATGTTATACATTTAAATAAAATAACTCGAATAGTCCAGCAATTAACATTAAGATGTTTCCTGTAATTGCGCAGGAATGATATCGTCGGAGCGCACAGAAGCACTCCTCTAATTTGCATTGACCTGATTAACTAACAACCATCCGTTGAATGGAAATACCTCATATTACACTTCATTGAACTCGTTTAAAAAAACCGCCTATTATACTATTAATAGATGAACGTACACATTCTGTTTTATAAAATCAAATTAACCTTAGACTCTTATTCGTCATTGAACCTGCAAAAAATTGTGTACACTATGTAATACCTTCTTCAAGACCAAACAATTTTTATAAAAATAATTTTTCCCTGCTTTTAATCCCTTATGAAATATTGAACACCAACAGCTGCATCAGATAATTCTTTCTCTTGAAAATAATTATTGCGATGATATATTGAATGGACCAAATGTTGTTCATCGTGTATCTTTCAGTAAGTGAAAAAATTGTATGAAACAATTTTTTCATCTCTAATACACTATGAAATGTTTAATTATTCGAAAGTGTTTAAATTGTATTATTGTCAAATTTAGATTGTGTTGATCTATTGAAGAATATTATTATATAAAAATTAATTTCATTGCTAAATGGAAACCATATTGTGGCGTCTATATTGTAAATCTGTATTTCTTATACTTTCAACGTGTACTTACTACCATAAAAAGTTTAATAGATTATAAACAGTTTAATACACTACAAATGCAAAAAAAACATTCACAGTTCAGAAATCACTATAACAAATCAATCTTAACTTTGTAATTCTTTTTTCATTTAACCAGTTAACTGCGTTCAACGGGTATACACGTCATCTTAAAATCAACATGATACTAATTCCTTCAACGATGCGTTAGTTATTTTTTCAGATAAACACGTAATTCTTCTTTGTCTTGCTTTAGCTTTTCGTTAGAATATATTATGGATGCAATTGGCTCGCGTTAACAGCTTAATACTATGAATAATGAAAAATGTATTTAATTTCGAAAAGAGCAATCGTTACGTTTCTTCATAGAATGAATTTTTTTCAGAATTGGAGCACTCATTGCTGTGCCTGGAAGCATCGTACGCTACGATTGAGGGTATCAGAGACACTGTTCTTGGGAGAGTGGAGGCATTCGTCTCGGTTGCACACGGGATACGAACAATGGGATCAGCGGCATTGACTCTTTGTTATGTGGCAATGGGTGCAGCGGAAGCCTATCACACTGACAATCTGATGCCTTGGGACGTGGCCGCTGGTGTACTTATCATCAGAGAAGCTGGCGGGGTAGTGATTGATACAAACGGTGCGTTGTGCCTGTGTCATCCAAAAAAAATTCCGACAAGTTGTCCAGCAGCCTTGAACTCTTAATACATCATAATTCCTAACACGTAAACAATCTTTGTTCCAGTCGAACATTATTAATTTATGGAAGCCAAGAAGAATTAGTTGACTACTTTTTGTTTTTAAATTTTCCTTTTCTTTCTCTATCTTTTTTATTTACAGATTTTGAATAGCATCAATGATTAAGGTTATTAGCAATAATGATTTGTCTCCTTTTTATTGGTGATATTAATTTTGAATTGAAAATGTGCAAACTATGAGGGACCTAATTTACATTATCTTTAATAGAAAGAGTTTAATTTAACAAGTTAATATGATTACTATAAGAGTCATTTAAATATTGTTTACTTTTTAAAAGCACAGTTGCAGATTGTTGGAAAAATTAGAAAATTTTAAGTACTACTAAACCGAGATGAAGTGTTTCATAATTCATTTCAAAACACTGTCCATGTGACTATTTAATAGACTAATGATTCGTCATAACAACGCCTTATCATATTACATGCGACATTTGTGTGACTATGTATATCTCTTTGTTTATCCTCAACAGTTCTATTTTACACCTAATTCATCATCGTTCGTTAGTACAATCTAATGCTCCAGATAAAAATTATAGGCTTTATAACGTTTCCTTATCGCTTATCAGTTTTTCGCAAAAACTAATTGTCTATAAAAAGAGCTTTTTACCTCAATAAAACTATAAAAAGTTTTTATTTTATTACAATGAATTGAGTTCTAAATGTAATTTTCGTAATTTGTATTATTGTATTTCTATTTCTAACATTAAACAGTTTGAATATATACAGAATTATTAAGTCTGTAACAATAATACTACAGAAAATGTTAAACATATTTTCCTATAAATAATAAGTTTTGAACAAAACTGAAACAAAAGGTACAGCATTTAACTGATTAAATTGAGGAATTATCATTTTCTGTTCCGCTTCATTTTAGTTTTTTTCTGTTTCTTTAATGTTGGCAGTATTATTATTAGTTCTAAAGAACAATAAATTTTAAATAATAAAAGAATTTTTATGATTAAAAGAAATGTTCTGTTTCAGGCGGCGAATTTAACGTGACGTCGCCGAAAGTAATTGCAGCTGGCAATCACAAGTTGGCTGCTGAACTGGTGAAGCTAATAAAAAAAGCAGATTCCGCGACATTGAAAAAGAAACTAGCGTAAAAGAACGATCAGACAATATTCTTCACAGTGAAAACTTTGTGCATAATTTCCTTAAACTGAAATATAGGAAATAGACTATTCTTTTGTTAAAACTTTGCATTCAACGATCAATTCCAAACGATTGAAGGTAGTAGAAAAAGTTTCCCGTGAGAAATGGGAATGCAGTGCTAAACTAGTGTTGGGCAGAGTCTTATTAATGTTAACTGTGTTAGTCTCTGTCTTCTATAGTTAACAATAGACAGTAGCATCTCTTGCATAAGCGATATTAAAGCCTGTGACGGTTGAAGAAGAAAAGTTCCTAGACAACTATTCAATCTTTGTTCCTTTATTCTTATTCTACCAATCGCGGAACTTAATAAAGACTGTATTAATGGGCAGGCAACCAAAATCGCAGTAATTAGAATCACAATCGCAGTTAGAGAGAAATAACAATTGAACAAATATTTAAAATATATAAAAAAATATGGAAAATCAAAAATTTACATGAACTATTGTAATATCTAATTATTAAAAGAGAGAAAAATGTTACCTTTTTTCTTTTTTCCTTACATTTATTTTTTAAGGAGAAAACATCAGCTAGTGTTTCAATGAACACACGTTCAACAATGTAGTCTCTATTTTATTGAAACAATTATTTTAAGATGATTATAATAATTCAACTTAATAATTACAAATTATAACTTGCAATCGAATAAAAAATTATAGTTTAACAATTGGTATTAACCAGTTAACTGCGTTCGACGAATATACACGTCATCTTAAAATCAAAATAATACTAATTCCTTCAATGATCAATTACTAATTTTTCAGATAAAAATGTCATTCTTCGTTTTTCTTTAGTTTTCCGTTAGATCATAGGTGCATTTGGCCCGCGTTAGACGAGTATATACTTCATTATTCGATTTCATTGCGAGCATTATCAGAGATTTCTGAAATTAAATTTCACAGTTAACATGTCGACAAGTAATCAGCTTACATTTTGTTCGGCTCTGGTACAGAGGTCGCACAAACATGACTCACACTGTACATTAAACTTGAATCTGTCACTAATCAAACTCGATCGAAAAACGAATGCAGCTTCAAACAGGAACGACCGACATGAAAAAGCTCGCACTTCAAATTCCCGTTCTGAAAAGTAATTCATAGCGTGCTGCAACGTGTTAGATAAGGAGGTACATCGAATGTTTAAGTTCAGCCACCTATGTCGTTTGCGCGGTTCTCTGTCGTCGGTGATAGTGATAAGAGAATCACGGTTAGCAGACCGTGTGCTCGATCGATCAGTCGTTCTCTCGAGGGCTTCGCTGACAATGTCGAGCGAGCAAGACATCAGAAATTATTTCGAGTTCGCCAAGGAGCTTACCCTGAAGGCAGGCGAGGTGAGTCACACTCGTTTTCTTCTTTTCGCGTTATCCCATTGACATACAGAATTCATAGAACACAATACAGTTCACGAATCAATATACGCTTAGTCCTCGATTTACACGGCATTTTAATCGCACGAATCCGGTTTATCACGGTTGAAAACGAGCGAAAGAACTTCCATTTGCACGGCACTTGAATGTCACTTAAATACGGTCAGATCAGACAAATACAAAAATTACGTTAATTTTTGTATCGTTTTGTGAATTACATGTGCAATCTTCTTGGATTAATGAATTTTTATTTAAAAATATGTGTATAATTTTTTATTTTACAATTAAAAAATTAACTATTCCTATGGAAGAACTGACATATTCCTATGGAAGAATTCTTTGGAAACATACGTATTAAGGAATTAGTTTTGTTTTCTAGTAATTAATATACTGTTAATATTTGAAACTGTTAACTATTATAATTTAGTTATTTATATACAAGAATTGATACATGAAATTTGCAACACAATAAGAATATTTTAATTAGTAAACGATTGTAATACGCGTGAAGATGCCTATAAAACATTTAACCGATTTTCTATTGTACTTTTATTTCATTCGGAAATCAGAAATTAATTTATAAATAATGTTTCTTACTAAGTATTAACTTATGTAAATAGAATAAATTTAGAATTTGTGGCTTTGAATCTGATAATATAATGATAAATCGAAATACATACAATTAAATAAAATATAAATAGTAGGTAGGACTATATTATTCATTATTCCTCAATTTGAAATATGGATTTCAATTAGACAATAAAAGTTCGTCAAAATAATAAAACCGTGCTAACACTAATCCTGAAATATTAAATGCACAAACGTGGTAAGAATGATTCATCGTTTCCGAATGATAGAACAGTGAATGCAATCAACAGAAACTTCGTTCTGGCGATTTCAATGCATGACAATGCACTATCGACGGATTCGAAACGTTCGTTTATACTCTGAATCCTTTCTAAAATAACATTTCATTAAAAATACAAATTCACGTTGCAAAGACAATCTTATATTTTCCTTTTCCAACCCGATCTTAAACATAATACGCGTTATACTAAATAATAAAGCATTTCATGTCCTTCACCAATGAACTAAAGGCAATTAAACTGCTTTAGAAATCCTATTACTATGTGTTGCACAGATATTACTCATTAAACTTTCACCGTGCACAATAAAAATGAATTCAAATTCAATGTGATATGGTTTCCCGTATCTTGTTATCGTATTAATTCCAGTAATAGTTATATGGCGGACCAAATTCAGAAATACAGATATTCGATTCAGTCAGAAACAACAATGAAATAGACACATTTCAATAACTCGCTCTTACTTATCACAAGCAGCATAAACTTATCAGTCGGGATTATATGAGATAATAAAAGTCTTAACAGTTGGAAATTTTATCTGTACGCTTTCTTGCCTCGTTCCTTATTACCTCTATCTTCAGATATTCAAATGCGGCTTCGAGGGCGAGAAAATCGTGCACGCCAAAACCAGCGAATGGGACTTGGTAACGAATTATGACAAGAAAATCGAGGAGGCGTTGATCGAACAATTAAAAAAAAGATTTCCCGATCATGAGTAAGTGACAACCATTCGTTCATTAATTGCCTTCGGCTCTTCAGGGGTATAATACGGATCCCATAGAATTTTGTAAAAGTTTTTATGTAAAATTTATTCCTTTAAGATACACGAAAATGAAATTTTGTATTACTTAATGACTGTTCAATATAGTGTCGGTCCTTCAAATTACCTGAAATGTTTTGCACGCCTCTTTTTTTAACCAGTTAACCAGTTAACTGCTTTCGATGAGTATACACGTCATCTTAAAATCAAAATGTTACTAATTCTTTTAACAATAAATTATTTATTTTTTCAAATAAATATGTAATTCTTCTTTGTTTCGCTTTGTTTCCTTTAAAATATATTATAAGCTTATACGGTCTGTGTTCGACAAGTATATACTTCATTATTTGATTTCGTTGCGAGTATTATCAGAGGTTTCTGAAATTAAATTCCACAGTTAACAGGTTAACATATACTCTAAGTGCAGTCGACCTGCGTTTAACGAAAACACTTAATTTTTTGATTTTATAGCGCGTAAAACGAGAGATTTTTCGAAGTAAATTCCACAGTTACCAGGTTAATAAAGACTCCAATATGGGTGCGATTCGCAGATTCATGGGAGAGGAGAGTAGCGCCGAAGCAGGGGGCAAAGGCGAATTAACAGACAAGCCAACCTGGGTCATAGATCCTATCGACGGAACGCTAAATTACGTGAATTCGTTTCCGTATACCTGCATCTCCGTAGGTTTAGTGATTTGCAAAGAAATCGTGGCTGGGATTGTTTATAATCCACTAAACTCGGAGCTGTACACCGCGGTCAAGGGAGAGGGGGCGTTTTTGAATGGGAAACCAATCAAAACTTCTGACGTCACTGGTAATCTACCACTTATATATAATTTAACATTGCACTCGAAATGTTATTCAATTCAGGCTTGATCGTACGAATTGGCCAGGCATCACGATGCTCGGGTAACTTCTTCCTATATTACATAGCAGATACACATACTGTGTTTCAGCAACCAATAAATGAATCTTTGTGCATTTTAAACTTATTTTTCTTGGTGGCAATTGGCTTTTGAAAAATTTCATTCTGAGGAAAATCAAATTTTCAGCATATGAAACCTATTGTGCGTTAGAACAAACAATGGTTATGTAAGAGTTTCATGTAGAAAATGATTCTATACACGAGTTTCTTTAATTAGTATAATAACTGTGAGTATTATTCACGATATCTCGTGCCTCGTAAAACTATATTACTTTGTCGATGTATGTGTATTGTAGCTTACCTTGGTGGTTTTCATACGAAAAGGATTTACTCGGGATATAATTACTATCTTATCTTAGAAATATAATTCTCAGAATAAACTGAGAAAATAAATCAAAATAATTAGTGCTTAGTGGATGTATCACTCAATGTGAAGATTCTTGAAATATTTCACTCACCGAAATTTCCATAATGCCACTATGTTCATCGATAAAATTCTGTAATATTCCTATATCAATGAATTTATTATTTTAGGATTCATTAAAAATGATATATTCACATTAATATAATACAATAAAATACAAAACAGAATGCAGCATTTCTATAAAGTCACATTTTTTTAGATAAATAAACTCAAAGTTAACAACTTCTTTCTTATTTTTATATTAATAGTTTATTTAGTTATCATTTCTCCGAATAACTTGAAATATTTGGTTTGGCACTAATAAAGGTAATATTTGAAGCGTTTCTTGATCGATGGAAGTCCATGCATTAGAAACTACCTTTGATCATTTATTTACAGAATTGTATTGCTTACAATTTGCATAAACTTTTCTCGCGACTGTTCCCTACAAATTTTCAATAGAGTTGAGGTCAGAAAATCAAACCGGCCACTTTTATACTTTTATATCTTTTTTCAATTTCCATCTTTCCTTCTGTTTCTGTTTCAAATAAAAAAACCGTATCGTCTAATTTGATTACTTTTATATATAAGTAATATCCAAAGTGTCCACACGTTTAGTATTAACCTTTCGCACTCGATTTATTTTCAATGTTGTTGGATATAAACTTATATTTATTTCTAGGGAAATGAATTATAGTAATTTACAGCTGTAAAATTCAACATTTTTTATTTTACTTAATAAATTTATTATTATAATAAAATTTAATTTGTATTATCTTTTAAAGTGCAGTACTTTTTAAAACAATTTCCAACGTTCTATAACAAATTTGTCATCTCTGGCATGACATACGAGCGCAAAGGGTTAAAACTTGTAGAACACGTCTCATATATACAGGTAAATTGAGATCACTGCGAAGTTGCGATGCATTTTTTATTCCTACCATTCGAAATCTTTTGAACTGCGAACCCAGACTCGTTGTTAGAGTTCCATTGCCTCTTCTATAACGATATATAGCATAACGTTCGTCTAGATTGACGTAATTGTTCGTGACACTGTCAGGATACCATATCTTAGTCGCTATTCTGGGATTCGAATAACTCATGTCCCTGTAGGTATCAATCCATGCTTTTTCCGCGCTTGGTAAAAATTGATTACGCACCATAATGATAAAAACAAATTAAACGCAGTTCCTTTAAAATTACAAATGAATTTTAACACAGACACTTAGATTTGGCTTTATTCGATTGCGGTTTATAAATAGCAGTTATCGGCGCGAAACGTACGTAGAAACTAAATGGATATTTTGAAATTTTGTACTTGTTTTCTGTCCAGGACAGCGGAAAGTCATAACAGACATCAAATGTAAACATAACGGTATCGCCAAACTATTCTACTTATATCTAATATCAACAAAATGTAAAGATAGGTGGGGAAAAGTAACATAGTGCGTAATACTTTTAAAATATCAACGAAAACTAAGGTGGCTTTATGCAAAATTTCAGGAAGTATCTATATATCATATTCTCCAAAAGTCTGTATGAACTCCAATTTTTTGGAGAAATATACGTATAACTTCTATGGTTAACAACAATTCATTTCTAAACATGAAACCGTCGATTTTTGTTTCAAAATTACATGTTTCAAAAACCAAAAATTAGTAAATCAGGTGCCTTTGAAAGGAGAAAAACAGGTTTCAGATGCATACCCATGCAGCGTATAAAGATCTACAAAAATCATCACATGAGTTGGGTCATATAATCAAATGATCATTTTCTTAAACAGTAATAATTATTTATGTGTGATTCTTATAAAAGAATTTATGGCAATAAAAATTTAATTTATTTAGCCTTTAGAATGATTATAGCATCATTCTCAGTCCAGTCAATGAATGTACTGATGAAATAAAATGTGGATTAGTTTTTAATGTGATTATTAGATTCAATATTTGTCTACAAAGAAATAATTATATAGATAAAGTATCGGAAATTTAGGAAATTATTGTCAAATTTAGTGGCTCATCTGCCATGGCAGTAATTAATGAATTATCGACATTTATATAAATATACAAAGTGTTCAAAATGAAAATACATTAAATTTATAATTCTCTATGTAACGTATAATTCCCATCAGACAATATAAACACTGTTAATGAACACAGGTTATAAGAATGCTTGATAATACGAATTCTATGCAAAACACGGAATATAAAGGAAAGAATGGATGTCGAAAATATGGTAAGTACATTGGTCCAAGTTTCACTTTTGTGTATCTATTCATCAACAATGAACAGCAAAATAGAGTTACGAGACCAAAGAGAAAGTGATTTGCAGTAGGAGATGAGGCAAAACTATTTGAAAATGTAAATATTGTATTTAAATGTGGAACAAAGACACGCAGAATATTACTTAAACCTATGAAATAAAACTTTTTAATCCTATGCTCCATGAATTGACTCTAGAATTAAAGTCTATGATATTATATTTAATAATCTGGATAATCTATAAATTGCTTAAACACCTTTGAATAGACCAGAACAATATTTATTCTACTAAAAATGTTAATAAATTACAAGTTAACTAAACATTTCGTTTTATTTCATTAACACTATTAATGTATTATCTTTGACACTTTACCATCTGTTACAATTGCATATCATCATTCACACTGAAGTATTACACTGAAAGTTATCTACTCCTAAATCGTTGCTTTTGATTAATAAAATATAATAAAGGTTCCATAATTGAAAGTAACTGTGTTATAATTTAAAAGTTCAAAAATTGTTATAATGTGAAATAATTTGTTGTTAGATTGAATATTGTTCTACCTTTCTATTACTATTCTACAGTTCTATTTCTTGTTTGCGGTATTACTGGCTAAAGCTATCAATGACAATAATTTCCACTTTTAATTTAGAAATTAAACACCAGAAATATTTAAAGAACCAAACCTTTCAATACACATGTATGTACATGATATATCATTAAATTATAAAATGATTGAAATGTTTCGTGACTGTTTAAATGTGTTTATGTTGTTTATTATTTGCAGAGCTGAAAAAGGCTTTAATTGAACTCGAACTGTTCTCAATGAGGAGTTTATGGAAGAACCGGGATATTAAACTTGGTAGATTCGAAGCCATACTTGAGAGTACTCGAGGGTAATATCAAACTAAATCACTTATTCTCCTTTATAATAATTTCATCTTTGTAAGTAGATAGCGAAGTTAAAAATCCTTAAATATTCCCCTATCCTTTTTTTGAATTGAAACAAAAAATTAAATTAAACATTATGATTATCGGTATGTATTAATATGAAACATAAATAATTCAGGAATATATTTAACAAATTAAGACCTTTAAAAAATCTACTAAATTATTTTTTTAATTCAATCTAATCACTTTCAAAGCTATCACAATTAAAAAACCAAATTAATCAATTTTTATTACTATACTGAAGATAGTTTACAATAGTTTATAAAGAGTTACGGGTGATAATTAAATATTAAAAGAATATTTTTAAAAAAACCGTTTCTTTGTCAAATATACAAAATTTCAAAATTAAACATTCATGTCTCACTGTTTTCAACCCTATTTCTTTCTCAATTCTCATTGACAAATAATTAACATTAGAACTACCGAGCATTTAATATGATTCATATGTAATCCCTATAAAAATTATAGCAGATTATTTTCAATTTCTTCACACATTCATTATAGTATCCAAGTGAAATTATTTATTTTGAGAATCGTTTCGAATATTCAATGCTTTGAACATATCAATAATTGCGAAACGACAAAATCAAAGGCAGTCATTTTGACTGGTACAGTAGTTCCAATGTTAAATAAAAACGCCAAGATAATTTAGATGGAACAGCTAGTAGTTATATATTTAAAACATATGAGAACGAAAAAATCAAAGACCTGTAAATTTGTTCTATATTCAGAATTAGGTATATGGGATCAGCTGCTCTGGCGTTGGCATACGTAGCGAAAGGTGCATTGGATTGCTTTCAAATGGACGTTCTTCAACCTTGGGACGTTGCGGCAGGTGTGTTGATAATTCGCGAAGCTGGTGGCACGGTAATCAACACAAAAGGTATGTACATACATTAAATGGTAGAGAATCGGAAATTCTTTCTGTACTTCGAAAACGTTGTATTCGTCATCTGAAAATTTATTTAATCTGTCCAGGTGGTGAATTCGATTTAATGAAACCAAACGTGATTGCGACTGCGAATGAAAAACTGGCGACAGAACTGAAGCAGCTCATCGCGGATACCGATTTAAAAACACTACGGAAGAGATTAACAAGATCTTGATATTTATGCTTGATGATTCTATGTTCCGATACTTGGAACGGGATTCTTGTACAATCGCAGACTTCGTCCTGTACTTATAGAATGAATAAAAATATTGTTATATTTTCCATATTATCATTTATCACCAATATAATGAATTACAATAGAAGTAAAAAGTTCCCTAATTTTACTAATTAAAAATGTATGGCTTCGATTATCATTTACCAAAATATTTTTTCTTATTTCATGATTTCACTGTGTGTAAAACACATATTTTTGGATGTTGATATTATCATATATAAATGTATGTAATGTTGATATTATCATATATAATTAATTATTATTAAGACATTAATAATAAATGAAAAGCAATAACGATGATTGTTATTTGATATTTAAAATAATGGTTAAACAAATATTGCACACATAACGCTCAAAAAGTATTGTCAATATAAGTGGAAATATTGAAACACCATTAGCACATCATTTCAGTAATTATGACAAAGTTTAGGAATATTTATGTAACTTTTAGAAAATCACATGAAATACTAGAAGTCAATTACAAATTATTTTTACAAATTCCTAATAATTATTGATCAAATAAATCTCACAATATATGAGCAAAGAGTTATCAATTAAGATGATTCATCAACATGGGCATTAAATAAAAATTATTTTTAATTACTTATATGTAGGTATCGTGTATTAGTCATAATTACTATAAATAGTTCATCAATATGGGTATTCAAAATAATATCTAAACAGTGTACAGTACTTCATAAACTTGATGTGTGATATTTCCGTAGGCATTGACTTTTTAAAGAGATCTGACTGGATTAAACTACATGCATTTATACATCAATTACGAGCACCAATTTGTCGAAGAATGCTAATATATGCATGGCGTGCCTCCAAATTAGCATTTTTGCGGAATATATTCTGCAATATAGATCAAGTTGCTTTTCAAAATGAAGTAAAAAATATAATAAATACACAGTGACAGTGGAATAAACAAGCATTTATGAAGACAATTGTGGTGTTTGACTTTTCGCATTTTTACTTGTGAAACTACAGTGCAAGTGTAAAACAAAAGAAATATTTCACGTAAACTGAAATCGAACCGTGGATCTCCACTGTATCAGTTATATTGATTTCATAAAAAACAACAAAAAAATGTCATTAACTTACTTACGAATATATTCATAGCGTATCTCGTTAATATGTACCTAACTTTAACTACCTACGTTGAATATTTTATACAAAAATTTTTTTCCAGATTATTATTGTAAATAAATGTTAAAAGCTATGTTAAAATCCATTGAATTTTATACATTGCTGGTTCTTAGAAGTTTCTATAAGCTATAAATGCATGAATATTCATAATATATTTATTAACAACCGATTGTCAATATGAATACTTTTAATTATAAATTAAAACAACGAATAAGAAATACTTGGGTACTTGAAAACTTACAAAATTAACTGTTACAATGATATTATAATTATTCCTAACAACCAATAACTTTTTGTAACATCTGATTTTCTCATGATTCACCGGGAATTTTTTCTCTGACACAATGATAAATAAACAAATTATATAGGCAACGCTAAGTGTAAACCAGTTAAGGAATTTACAGAGGAGTCACTACTAGAAATTGGAATTTTCGTAACGGGAAACTTGATAACAGTAATTATTTTGCACACGTCATATGCATGATCAATGCGCTGGAATTAGATTCTGAGAAATCTCAAGCGACGTCTTGGAATATCGATTGAATAATTAATAATTCGAGAGACCGGAACTATGTTAATCAGATTCTTGATGAAAAAAAAAGACGATTGCAAATGAAGTCGAGCCTCCATGCAACGCATACGTAATATTCTTCAGTGTTCAAACAATATACAGTATAATCTGTTTAGGAAAATACTTTATTACAGCGCTCTGGAGCGCATTAAAATTCTTATTATTTTTGGAAATAATTTTGTGTAAGTATTTTAAGTTACCTTGTAAGTTATTTCAAGTTAGTTATGTTATAATTTCCTTTTTCCAATACATTATTAACAACAAAATAGTTCTAGCGAGCAGAATTGTGAATGTAATAATAGAACAAGAGATTAAACAAAAATTGATATATAAATTCGTGCTACCAAAAAGAGAAAAAAACTAATTTATTTCACTTGGAAAGATTTGTACTTAGAAAATATATATATATTTCAATAAATAGTAAATAACGTTTACTACATAAATATATATGATATACAATGCTTATGAAGTAATTCACATACATAATTTACTCAGAAGATACACTGAACCAGAGTCGAAGGTTGATCAAGGAAATATGTTACCTCGTAGATACCTTAAATTGCAGTTGCAAAATGTTACGGCTGACTGAACAACATAGAGGACAAAAAGCTGGCAAAAAAGTTTAATCTAACACCTAGGAGATTTACGTCATTTTCTATATTAAAAATTAACAAAATCGAAGAGATTTCACAGAACTTTGAATTATTAATAAAATAATAAATATAGGAAAAATATAAGTTATAATTATTAAACTGGGAATTTTCCCAGTTATTTTTCCCATTTATCACACGTCTTTTTCTTGAGTAGTAACTGTACCGCGATATTGACAAGCTGAACTAACTGATTCTTACTGACAAATTAACGGGCAAAATGATCAATGGGTCTCAAGGATACGGTAAGAGGCAACACCTGCAGTTTCTCAGAATGCAATCTCGTGCAACGCAAATATCGTAAATCCTATTACAGACTTAACACTCGGATATTATTGGTGAGTGTGATTTTGTGATTGACTGCTTTATTAACACTAGAACCACTGTACCAGTTAAAATGACTGATTTCGATTTTCTTTCTTTCGCAATTATTGATGTCTTTAAAGCATTGAATGTTCGAAATGATTTTGAAAATAAATAATTTCTCTTGAATACTGTAACGAATGTCTGAAGAAACTGAAAATACTCTACTGTTATAATTTCTATAAGGATTACATATGAGTCATATTAAATGCTCGGTAGTTCGAGTGTTAATATATCAATCAATAAATCTTCTGAAAAAAGTAGTCCAAGTAGTCCAATAGTTAAAGACAATATTGGATATACCAACATTTTTTAAAGTTTAGAAAGAGCGTTAAACATTCTTATTGTAATTTATATATCATTCATGCTTCATATAAAATGTAATATTATAAAATAATATTACAAACAGTGTTTAAAATAATGTAACCTAATATAATAATCAGAAACAGGAATTTTCAATTTTTTTAAGTTACGTTAATCCAATAAGGTCATTGACAAGGACATTGAATTATGTAACTGAACTATGTATGTATAATATATAGTTGTATAATGTATTGATGTAATTAAATTAAATGTAATAATATTTCATAATATGAATCAAGCATTTGAATTATTACAAATGTTTAACGTTTTATATCTTAAATCATGCCATTCATATTTTACTCTTATTTCGATTTTAGGTAGTTTAGTCAAACTCAAGTAACACATACGTTACATATAAATATTCTTAACAAGTATTTGGAGATAAATAAATATAGTGATGTTTTAAACTAAATTAAGCTACAAAAAAATGGAAAGAAAATTAATATTTTAATCAAATTGGTATTTTAAAGAACTTTTAAGATATAACGATAAAAAAAATACATATGATATTTTATGTTATATCAGCTGAATAAAGAAAATAATATTATTTTAATGAAAATCATATTCTAGTTGTATACAGAGATTGCTAGAGTATATTTTTAAAAACGATTTAAATTGTATCAAGTACAAAAAAGATCCCCCAAACGAACCGCGGAATCTAAAATTCTGCAACCAATTGATAAACTAGATCTTAAACATGTCTACATTCGTAGTATCTCTCAAGTTTCATAACTCAGAAAAATAAAGATTTTAAGGATGTTTAATGCTATAGATATTATTATGAACGTAATAGAACTTCTACACAATATAGAAAATCAAAGTCCCAAAATTTTACTAAATGCGGCTGAATTTCATTTCCTATAATTTGTGTTTAATCATTGAATAACTTAATCAGACGTTGAAAGTATACGATCAATTAGCTACTAATAAAAATATTTGTATTCATCTGTAGTTGCAGTATTGGCAAACGGAAATTGAACCTAGCAAAAGGAAATAATGGATTTTACTCATTGATACACCTAATTGAACGTTGTAATTGAAATAAGCGTATGCTACAGCTGATCACCGCTGTGAAAGTATGATCGTAATGTTTCACCTTGGCACAGTCTTTTGCTACGTACCCTAGGATATCGGTTTTTACTGTAGCAAAATCTCGTGGTAATTTTCAAGCTGCGTTGATAATGATCTTGACTCTTTCGTAACCTTATTACGAGTGACTGATATCTAAGTGTAGTTTACTCACGTAGGAGTGAAAAATTCCATAATAAATATGTTAATAAAGAGTCCATTCTAGAAGGCGGAACCGTCGCGAAGATTAGGTTTAAAAATGGATATTTCCATAAATATGACATTCGTAGCTATGTATACTTTTTCATTACAAAATCAATCTGTATCTGCTTCATTGATAATTAAATTCCCGGGAGAATAAACATAAAGAAATTTTAAAAACAGGCTTGGACTGATTTTTTTAGAAGTACTAATTAGACCAACTTAAACTGGTAAACTGCGCACCATTTAGATTAATAACACCTTAATCCAGAAATTAAAATTTCTATTAATCAGTTAACTGCGTTTGACGAGTATACACGTCATCCTAAAGCTTCAAATGATACGAATTCTTTCAACGATGAATACTTTATATTTTTCAAGTAAATATGTAATTCTTCTTTGTTTTGCTTTGGTTTTTCATTAACATATATTCTAGGTGCGTTCATTCTACGTTTAACAAATACACACTTCAGTTTTTGATTTTACTGCGCACAAAACGAGAGATGTTTGGAACTAAATTCTACATTTAAAAGGTCAAGATATAATTTTTCGAGTACCTATCAGTACACTACAAACAACTAATTTATTCAATACAAAAATCAACGTGCAGTATAATTTAAAACAGGAAGTCTTGTTACATTTTATCGATGCAACTGCATCAAAATTCTATTGCTTTCTCTGTATTGTATCTCTATTGCTTTTAACTGTATTGTTAACCATACCAACTCTGAATGAAGAAATAATCCATACCAACTCTGTGACTCATACAGATATGCAACTCAAAAGTTGCACACCAGTATTATAAAAGGTTAACATTCTCAATGAAATTGATTCTAATCATTGTTGCAGATCGTGTACAAGAAATGGCACAAGTTATAATCTCTTCATAGAATATTTTACTGCTTATAACATTAATAAAATATTATTACTGCTTATTTTATATCTTAGGCATACTTTAAAACCATAATGTCATAGATCGTTGAATTCGCATCGATATTAGTGCCAACACGGTATTATAAAAAATAAGTATTACCGCGAAAAAATATGTCTATGACCTTGGAATGACTTCCAAAACAAATTTTGCGTTGCTAAGATGCACGTCTTGGAACAATAAAAATTCTTCTTAATTATGATCCTCTTAATCAGTTAGCTACGTTCGACGAGTATACACATCACCTTAAAATCAAAATGATACTACTCCTGTCAACGATAAATTATTTATTTTTTTTCAGATAAACATATAATTCCTCTTCGTTTCGCTTTAGCTTTTCGTTGGAATATATTATAGGAGCAATTGGTCTGCGTTTGACGAGTATACACTTCATTATTTGATTTCATTACGAATATTGTCAGAAATTTCTGAAACTAAACGCCACAGTTAATAAATTGACTTCCATACCAACAGAAATAAATCGAACGCCAATCATAAATACGGCACTGCATTCAAATTATGAGAAAATAAATCCTGCAGACTATTTTTTTATTACGTCTAGCTTCGAAACGATGTTATCAAGCCCGCATCCGATTGGTCCCGGCACTCATTAGCTAAGGATCGGTTGAGAAACAAACCGACCGTTTTATCTCGTATACGTCTCGTATAATTTATAAATTACACCTGCCCGAAGTTGGAGATTGTCACGGTATTCTATCGGGACGTATATTTGCCGAATTAATCGTATCAAATCATGAAAGCCACCTATCATTCTCGTTATCTCGTTTTAAAAGGTACTAGTGTAAAGAAAGAAAAATGTCGTTAGTTGGGGAACATACCGAAAGAGACGAACCAAAAAATATGAAGGAACGATTGTCGAGGGAGCACGCGAACCGATGTATCAAGCAATCCTTGAGTCATTACCACAATATATTCTGAGCGGTTTCGAATGAAAAGTACAGGATACTGGTCTGGCAAACGCAGTACCCATTGACGCGTTTTCCTGACGAGAATCTCAGGTTCGTCGTTTACCAGGAAACATGGCGCGCTACGTGGAGGATGTGTATTATGAATTCGCTATTAAACTGACTTACGACGCTGCTCAAGTGAGTACTGTTACTTGTTTTTGTATTTCGTTAGGGTCTCCGTGAGCTAGCGTGTCGTTTTAATTGTTTTGTTTTCTATTATCTTCTCTTTATGTAGCAGAGTGAGATCGATTGCTGAAACACAGCGGAAATATTATAGATCATGTGACTAGAATTGTTTTTCGTTTGACTGCTCGAATGGCCGACGCTATGATACATGCAGGATTTTGTATTCCGTTTTTCTTTTCCTATTCGTTCGTTTATGAATGATTTATAAGAAATCGTAATATTGGAATATTTGATTCGTGCACTTTTACGTTTATGTTGGTGGCATTATTGGAAAATTGTGTCATTGTGGAGAGTTTCATGATGGATAGAAAGGTTTTTGTTTATATTACTTTGTCTACTTAGAAAACAGGTGAAATATTAAACTGATATTTTATTTGATTGATATTTTCATTATTATCTGATATGTTTGATACATGAATGTTTTGAAACATCGTTTTGCAATGATGTAAACATTCTTGTAATTCTACATACAATTTTCGTTGAAAGTTATAGACGTAAATTAAGGAAGCATGTTTCAATTTCAGTTAAAATTATTTTGTAAATCAACATTACAACAACACTAAAATTTGGAATGCCAATTCACAGAAACATGAAATCTTAAATTTTCTGTATTTCGAAATATACCAGCATTTTAAAACTTTCCCTGCTAACATCGGTTTCAATAGCAGTCTTCATAGTGACAATATTTTATAAAATACAACATGATAGATATTATTTAAGAAAAAAGTGTCAGCAATTGCTTACATGTTACACATACCATGTATTACAAGTTTAAATAAAAACCCATGTAAAATTAATTTTCTTTTCTATACGTAAAATACGAAATAGTGTTCGTTATAAATACTGACAATGATATATGACACTGGAAGTGAA